AGTGGTAAAGAATCCATCTTGCAATGCAGGGGATACGGTTTCGACCCCTGGTCAGGGAACTAAGATTCCCACAGGCTGCAGGGCAAGTAAGCCTGCGTGACACAACTTCTGAGCTTGCGTGCCTCAACAAGAGAGCCTGCGTGCCACAAACTACAGAGCCCATGTGCCCTGGAGCCTGCACACCACAACTAGAGAAGAGAAAACCCACACGCCACAACTAGAGAGAAGCCCACGCACCACAACGAAGAGCCCGCATGACATAACGAAGGATCCCACGTGCTGCAACTAAGACCCGACGCAGCCAAAAATAAATTAAATAAATAAATAAATCTTAAAAAAAGAAAGATTGTAAGCTCCACAAGAGCAGAGACCATGTTTCTATCTGCTTATCATTGTATTTGCAATACCTAGAATGATGCCCAGGAAAAACTATTTGTTGAATGATTGGCCAAAGAGATAACTGATTTTTTAAAATGAATTAGTTAATTAATTAATTTTTGGCTGCATTGGGTCTTCATTGCTGCACGCGGGCTTTCTCTAGTTGTGGTGAGTGGGGGCTACTCTTTGTTGCGGTGCCTGGGCTTCTCATTGCGGTGGCTTCTCTTGTTGTGGAGCACGGGCTCTAGGCACACGGGCCTCAGTAGTTGTGGCTTGCGGGCTCAGTAGTTGTGGCTCGCGGGCTCTAGAGCGCAGGCTCAGTAGTTGTGGCACATGGGCTTAGTTGCTCCGTGGCATGTGGGATGTTCCTGGACCAGGGCTCAAACCCGTGTCCTCTGCATTGGCAGGCAGATTCTTAACCACTGCTCCACCAGGGAAGTCCAAAAGAGATAACTGATTGAATGAAGCATGAAAGGTTTGGAAAGCGAAGACCAAGTGATGCTCTCAGAGTCAGGATCAGATCGACTCAGCTCTGAGTTGTCCAGCCCTGGGTTTTGTACCAAAGCAGATTTCTTCTGGAAGGCCCTTTCTACCTTATGATTCTATTGTCATTTTAACTACTATTGGACATTGGTCATTTTCGCCTGCCCAGTGTTTGTTCCCTTTTTCTATGAGGTCCTCAGTTTCCTTTTGGGAAAGTCCTCTGCTCATTTTGTGTCCTCTTTTGGAGAGGTGGATCCTGTTAGGCACCTTCCACCATGAAAGATGAAGGTATCACACCCTTTTCTTTGTTTGCCACCCACCCCCATGGACCAATGTGACCTAAAGTCAGCCAATCAGATACTCTCTCCCGTGACTGACTCTTGGGCAAGTGACTCAAGGATGGAAGGGCTGGTTAGAGCTCATTTATTTTGATGGTGGTGTGCTCACCAGTTTCTGCCACAAACCCTCGCTAAGGTCCTTGCTGCCTAGCCCTCTGGATCTCCGCTCACTCCTGAGTTTTTCTAAGCCTGGCCCCCCAGCCTTCAGCCAGGTCTCTGAGCTGCTAATAACCTTCCAGTGAATTCCCATCTGTGCAAGTCAGGCAGCATTAACTTGTGCTGCATGCAACCAAGACCCCTATTTGACAGTGCAGGCCAGCTGCTCCTCCGGCTGTATAGTTTCTCTCACTTTATTTCTCTTCCTAGGCTGCAGTCCTGCATGGCCCTTTAAAAAAATACTATACTGGAAGCCTCCTCCTTTAATACTGATTCCAAGCAATTGTTATTTGTCCTTTCCATTCCATTCCTTGTAGTGGGCAATGATAGGGTTGTTCCTTCCTTCTCCACAGTGAATCCTCCTTCTCTGTAACTGATTCCTCACCTCCAGCAGCTTGACCTTGGGCTTTGACCATCATTGATTGGTCAAGCATTAGATATCTCACCTTAAACTGGGCCAATCAAATTTCTGTTTCCTGGGTGTTTATAAGCTTTACCTAGGGCATGTGAAAGTTGTAGGTGGCTGACCGCTAAGCCTCAGAAGTGAGCTGGTTCTAGGGGGAAGGTCTATAATTTTCTGTTGCTGAGGTTTGGGATCCTTTTCTGGGTCCCAACACTTACCTATCTTGAGGAGAGTGCCAATAAATATATATAACTCTCTCTCTTTTTTGTTTAAAACATCTTTATTGGAATATAATTGCTTTACAATGGTGTGTTAGTTTCTGGTTTAAAACAAAGTGAATCAGCTATACATATACATATATCCCCATATCTCCTCCCTCTTGGGTCTCCCTCCCACCCTCCCTATCCCACCCCTCTAGGTGGTCACAAAGCACCGAGCTGATCTCCCTGTGCTATGTGGCTGCTTCCCACTAGCTATCTATTTTACATTTGGTAGTGTATAAAATATAACTTTCTTGATTAAGTTTTCTAATATTGGCTTATCTGCAATCAAAACGACCTTAATTCAATTCACAGTCTCCATGTGATAGAAGGCTCCTTGGAGGCAGGGCCGGATTTTCATTCATTCCTCCATTTATTCACTGATCAAACATTTATTGAGCACTTACTATGTTTCAGGCACTATGGTAGGTGCTGAGAACACCAAGAGGAATTAGACAATCCCCTGAATTCACGGAGCCTGCCCTCTGTGTAGTTGGGGTATTAATGTCTTCAATCATTCATTCATTTAACAAGTAGGTCATTGAACTAATCATCGCCAGCACTTATTGAATATTATATGACAGGCCCTGGTACTAAATGCTTTTCTTATTTAATTCTCATAATTCTATGAGATATGTCCCAATTTACAGACGAAGGAACTGAGTCACCAAGAGGTTAGGCAGGTTTGCCAAAGTCACAAAGCTTCTAAGTGCTGGAGATGGGGCTCCAATCCTGTCTGGCTACAGAGCTCTTGCTTCTAATCATTGTGTGACCTCCCTCTCAAAATAAAGAATCCCAAAGCAATGTGACATATGCCTACACAGGTGTGTATAAAGTTCACAGAGAAGAAAGTGACTGATTTTGCCTAGAGGTTGGAGTTCAAGAAAGGTTTCACAGCTGAAGAGGTTTGAGCAATCTTGGAGGAAGAGAAGAATTGTAAGCCTGGTGCCTTGCACAGAACTTTGCACATGAACTCAGTAAAATGATGATACGGCAGCTTATGCCTCTGGAAGGAGTTGTTTTCCTGTGTACATGGAGTCTGGGGTGTTTCCTACCGCCTTCTGAGGCATCCCTTTTGTGATTTAGCAATGGTGTGCAAGATCATCAGATCATTTATGTATTATATCATTTATGTTCACAAAAACTTTGTGTGGTAAGTAGTACAGGTATTAACTTCGTAAGATGCGTGAGGAAGCCAAGGTTGATGTTGCATGACTTGTACAAGACCACACATGGTGAGTAAGTGGCAGAACAAGACAAGGCCCTGGTGTCCTACCCTCTGGAGGGAGGGATTGCCTAGCAGGATTCCTTAATCTAGCCAGGCTCCTTAACTCTCACTCTCCAGTAAGGCATTGCTGTTTCCAGCCTCTATACCTAAGCTTCCAAAGGTTCCCTCTCCCAGGATCACCCGCCCCCTCCTTCTCATTTCCAGCTCTCCAAATACTGCTCATCCTTCAAGATCAAGCTCATTCCACATCTTCCTCCCAGGCCTTCCCTAGCTTCATTCAGCTCGCTGTCTAAGCCCCAGTTAAATCCGTTACCCGTGCTTCCAACCAGATTCCTGCCCTGAAAACTTCCTGTATAGAAAGTCTAGACTTGTCACTGTCAACCAGCCTTCCTCATCAGAACTCCTGTTGCCTAATCATTCCAGCCTTTGGTCAGCCTTTTATTGTTGTTTACTTTATTTATTTATTTAAACATTTTTATTGGAGTATAATTGCTTTACAATAGTGTGTCAGTTCCTCCTTTATAACAAAGCGCATCAGCTATACATATACATACCTCCCCGTATCTCCTCCCTCTTGGGTCTCCCACCCTCCCTATCCCACCCCTCTAGGTGGCACAGCCAGTATTCAAACGCAGACTGACTCCAGAGTCCATACTCTTAAACATGACACTAAATTCTTTTTTTTTTTTCTGTACGCGGGCCCCTCACTGTTGTGGCCTCTCCCGTTGCGGAGCACAGGCTCCGGACGCGCAGGCTCAGCGGCCATGGCTCATGGGCCCAGCCGCTCCGCGGCATGTGGGATCCTCCCGGACCGGGGCACGAACCCGTGTCCCCTGCATCGGCAGGCGGACTCTCAACCACTGCGCCACCAGGGAAGCCCCGACACTAAATTCTTTATGGGTAGCCAAAAGTTTCTTGCTACAATGTAAATCCATTTCTTCTCTTTCTAATAACTATGGGAATATAGAGCTAAAGGGATGAAAAATAATATGTATACATTATGCTTCTAATATGAGCCAGGTATTGTGATAGGTGCAAAATGGCTTATTAATGTAATTCTTGCAATGAGTCTATGAAGCAGGAAGTATTAACTCCATTTTAAAGAATTTGGCTCCTAAAGTGGTTAAACACTCAAGGTTTAGCTTCTGGTTACTGTCAGAGCTGGAACAAGACCAGGTTTCTTGTTTTTCAAGGAAGTGTTCTTAAAAGGAAGTTGTACAGAAAACCCTGATAGGGACAGATGTGAAAGGCAAAGAGACACCCGAATCATTACTTAAAATGTGTTAATGTATGATGCATATTGAAGAATGGTGAAGGAATGTCGAAAAAGGCTTACTATAAAAACCCACAGAAGAATTAGCTAATTAAATTAAGGGCTGGGATTCAAACCCGAGAACTTCCCGGGAGGCAAGGGTAGAGACGGTGCCACCTGTCCAGAAGAGGGAACCCGCTCTAGATACCTGGTCCCAGGTCCAAAGGTCGCTTCAGAAAACCCCCTTGACACCCGCGGGCCGTTTTATTCCATCCCGTCATTGGACAGGTAGGAGCCTGGGGTCCGCCTCCTCCTCCTCCAGATTGGTCAGCAGTCCTCAGGCTCACGACACTCCTGCGCGCCCCGCCTGGTCTCCAGCTCCCGGGCCCAGCCTACGGCGATCCGCTGCTTCGTGGGGGAGTGGGTCCCGCCCCCATGTGACGGCCCGGCAGGGAATTGGCGGCGGCGTGCAGCCATTTCCGGTTTCGGGGAGGCTGGAGGGGTGCGGAGGGGGACTTGGAGCAGCTACCGCCTCGGCCGCCGCTTACGGATCCTGCCTTGCGACTAGTGCTGCCGGGACGATGCGGACGGAGCCCGGAGGGTGCTGCTGTCGTCGCCCGGTGCGGGCGAACGACTGCGTGGCGAACGGGGAGGTGCGCAACGGGTACGTGAGGATCAGCGCCGCTACTGCCGCAGCCGCTGCCGGCCAGGTACTGTGGGACCAGGCGGCCGGGCCGGGCTGGGGCGGTGGGCCGGGACCCCGCGGGCTGGCGCCCTTGCGGAGAGGCGGCGGGGCCGGGCGGGGTCGCGGTGACTGTCCGCGGGGCCGGGCGCGGATCAGGTGTGCTGGTGGCAGTGTCCGGGCACTGACTGGGCCTGCCCCGGGCCGGAAGGCTCAAGGGCGGCGCTGGGGCTCCCCAGTCTCTCCGCGCCTGAAGTCTTCCTCACCTCCCCCCAGAGGTTGGGCTCTACTTCCTCTACCCGATCCCGCCAGAAGTGGGGTCTGCCCCCCAGGAGAGGCAGGGAGTGCCCCCTGGGACCCCAGGAGGATTCCCCCGAGCCTCCCTCCTGTGGCCTTCGGGTGGTTGCTTCCTCCTAGAGCTCTGAAGCCCTCCAGGGAAAACCACATTTAGGATCCTCAGGAGACAAAGCAAGTTAGGAGGTGGTACCAGGCGGAAACACACCCAGTCTTTTCCTACCACGTACCTACCCCCGTCTACAAGTAAGGCCTTGGACCACAAGTCTGGCAGTGAACCCGGTCCGGAGCCTAAAAAGCGTTTCGGTCTTGGCCCGAGGTGAGACCCCCATCTCGGGCTCCAGGTTGAGTTAGGTGGTCCTGCTGACCCCTTGAGCAAGAGTGCTATCTCACAAGGGGATGGTTTAGCCTGGTGGTGACATGTGATGAGTGTACTAATGCACTAAGGCTGAATCACCAACCCAGTCCAGGCAGTTCTGAAATATTTTGAAAAGTTCTGAATTCAAGGCAGTCATTATTATCAAGCTTCACGTTCTCTGGACCGACAGCTGTTATGGCTGAAATGTGTTTTTAACGATGAGCTGGTTAAAAAGATGCAAGGTCAGTGTTGGTGGAAGAGAGCGTTGAGATGTCTGCAGTTGACTTTGGTACTTATAAATCTCTTTAAGAAATTAAGGAAATCCTTTTTTTTTTCACCAATAGTCCGTTCCCCACGGCAGGAAATGTGACTGTTGTAATTTGGCATTACCATAAATATCTGGCAGCCTTCTCCCCCAGTCAGTAGATAGGAGAGACAGGCCTGTTACTGTTTGGTGTGAGACAGAAAGTAAAGCGTTTCTCCGGGTCAGGTTGAGATATTAAGACCACAAGAGTTGGGGGGAAATACATAAAAGAGACTTGACCTCCCCTGAAGTTGTAAGGTGTAAGGCAACATAATATACAGATTCAAAAAATTTGTTTTCATTTTTGAAGAAATAATTGTGTGAGACAGGAAGTGATAAGAATCAGCTCATTGTAAGCCATGGAAGAAGTTGTTTTCCCAGCAGTGTAAATGGCTAATAAGACACAATTGTTGTATAAATTGTAAAAGGGAAACCTCATGGTGGGAGTTAGAAAATACATTGCAGGCCAATGAGTGCGTTATGATTTTTAAGAGGGAGAAGGAAATCAAGAGCAAGGTGTCCACACGATAGAGGTGCTTTGTGTTTAAGTGCTCTTTTCATTTAACACACTTATGTTCTGAGTTAGTAAATCAGATTTCTCCCTCCCATAATCCTGAACAGTTTAGCATTGGTGGGCATGACATTTCTTTAGAGATTGCTGACTGATAAGATGAAGAAATATCAAGTTGCTAACATGAAATTTAAAAATCTGTATAACTGGAAAATCTCCCTGACTTTTTCTAATATATTTTAGTGAAAAAATTCACTCAAGCCACAATGGGGGCATTTGGAAGAATGGTCTGGTGGAATGCCCTAAAGAATGTTTAGGGGTGCAGTATCCCTTCTAGAAAACAATTTCTCAGGAGTCTTTTTAAAACAAAGACTTTAGGTATGTAGCTTTTACACTAATAAGAGGACTATTGTCTGTGGGGTGTTTTTTCCCCCCCGTTTCTTTTTCCTTAAGCAAAAGAAACTTCATGAGAGCAAGAGTATCTTTAAAATATTTTTTAAAGTTGTCTTTGTTTCGATTAAAGTGATGTGCTAGTGCTCCAAGCCCTGTGTATTTTTCCCCAGTTTCTGGGGGAAATATTGCCAATTATGCCGTAAAAATACACATAAGATGTCAAGTGCACAGGCATGTGTCTTGCCTTTTCTAAAATAGAGTGTAACAGGGTTTTTTTTTTTTTTTAATAAACTTATTTATTTTTGGCTGCGTTGGGTCTTGGTTGCTGCACACAAGATTTCTCTAGTTGCTGCACACAAGACTTCTCTAGTTGTGGCGAGCAGGGGCTACTCTTTGTTACCGTGCGCGGGCTTCTTATTGCCATTGCTTCTCTTGTTGTGGAGCACCGGCTCTAGGTGGGCGGGCTTCAGTAGTTGTGGCTTGCGGGCTCTAGAGCGCAGGCTCAGTAGTTGTGGCGCATGGGCTTAGTTGCTCTGTGGCATGTGGGATCTTCCCAGACCCATGTCCCCAGCACTGGCAGGCAGATTCTTAACCACTGTGCCACCAGGGAAGCCCTGTAACAGGGTTTTTAAACCCAGGCTATAAGTTCATTTCCTCACATATACCACCATTTGTCTTTTAACAAACAGAAGAGAAGTTAGAAACTTCTAAGATCCCTCTACCCTCTCAGGAGTCTGTATGCTTGCCTCTTTGTTGGATTTGGGTTTAGAGTTTGAGTAAATAGCTCCTGTGGTAGAAAGCATAGGCTCTGGACGGACAGGCTCAGCGCCCACGGCCCACGGGCCCAGCCGCTCCGCGGCATGTGGGATCTTCCCGGACCGGGGCACGAACCCGCGTCCCCTGCATCGTCAGGCGGACTCTCAACCACTGCGCCACCAGGGAAGCCCCATCTTAACCATTTTTAAGTGTACAATTCAGTGGAATTAAATACATTCATAATGTTGTGCAGCCATCAACACCATCCATCTCCATAGCTCTTTTCATCGTGTAAAACTCAAACTCTGTACCCGTTAAACAGTATCTCTGCATTCTCCCCTCCTCCCAGTCCCTGGCAACTACCGTCCTGCTTTCTGTCTCTAGGAATTTGACTACCGTAAGTACCTCATATAAGTAAAAGTACTTGTCTTTTTGTGACTGACTTTATTTCCTTTAGCATAACATCCTCATGGTTCATGCATGTTGTAGCATGTATCAGAATGTACCTCCTTTTTAAGGCTGAATAATATTCCATTGTATGTATATACCACATTTTGCTTAGCCATTCATGTGTCAGTGTACACTTAGGTTGCTTCCCTGTTTCATTTGTTGTGAATAATGACACTATCAACATGGATGTACAAATATCTCTTAGACCATGAATTCTTTTGGGTATATACCTAGCAGTGGAACTGCTGGGTCATGTGGTAATTGTATTTTTAATTTTTTGAGGTAACACCGTACTGTTTACACAGTGGCTGTACCATTTTACATTTCCATCAGTAGTGCACAAGGGTTCCAGTTTCTCTACAGTCTCACCAACAATTGTTATTTTCTTTTTTTTTTTTTTTGATAGTAGCTGTGAGATTATAGGGACAAAAAATATATGTATATAACTTCCTCTGCTGCTGGCATAGAGCTCCTAAAACCTGTGTAGTTTCCTAAGTGATAAGAGCACTAGGAGCATCTTTTGTCCTAATGTTTCGTCTTTGACCTCCAGTTTCTGACACAGAGCTCCTACATCCCTTGACATTTCCTAGACAATAGAAACATCTTTAGTTCTAATGAGCTGACTCTTGGTGGGCTCCTGGGTGGGGTCACCAGAAAGACCAAGCCATGAATAGAAGCTTGGATTTCTCAGCCCCACCTCCCAGTTCTCCAGAGAGGGGAGAGAGGCTGGAAATGGAGTTAATGATCAATCATGCCTGCATGATGAAGCCTCCATAAAAGTCCCCAAAGTACTGGGTTTAGAGAGCTTCTGGGCTGCTGACAACGTGGAGATGCTGGGAGAGCGGCACAGCTGGAAGCTCCGTGACCCTCCCCACTTTCCCTGCCCTACATATCTCTTCCATCTGGGTGTTCATCTGGATCCTTTATAATAAACTGGTAAACAGTAAGTAAACAATTTTTCTGAGTTCTGTGAGCTGCTCTACGAAGAGAGAGTCCCAGGAACCTCTGGTTGGTCAGAAGCACAGGTGACAACCTGGACTTGAGATTGGCATCTGAAGTTGAGGTGGAGGCAGTCTTGTGGGACTGAGCCCTTACCTGTGGGATCTGCCGCTATCTCCAGGTAGATAGCGATCGAAGTAAGTTAAATTGTAGGACACCTACACTTGAAACTAACACCACGTTGTAAATTAACTATATACTTCAATTTTTTAAAAAAGGAAAAAACAATGTAGGACACCCAGCTGATGTCACAGTATTGCTTAGTGGTGTGTACCCCCCACCCCCCAAACATCTGGTCAGAAGTGTTAGTGGCAAGGTAGTGTGAGAGTAAAGGAGAGACATTGCAGGAGAATTAGGTTTTTTCTTTACGGTAGCCATGCTTATGGGTGTAGACATTACTGTTTTTTAATGATGACGGTAGATAGAGTTTTCACAAGGAAGAGAAATGGTAATTTTTCCTCCCTGCCATTCAGAAGAGTGAGAGAAGCGGGTCAGCCTTTCTTGAGGTAACAGGTGGCAGTTAGTATTAAGGAAACTTAGAAAGAGAATTGGAAGCTTTGGCAGAATTAGAGCTAGAAGGAACCTTTAGGGGTTTATGTAATTCATTCCCTTTTCTATTTGTAGGACTTTATTAAAGCTAATCTTGGTAGAGGATTCTATCCTATTTTTAAAGACCTCTAGAGGCTTTGCAGGAAATTTTCTCAGCAGCGATTTGGAGTATTCAGTGATCTTAATTACCAAGAGTTTATTACTGTGGATTTAACATTTGATTAAATAAATGCCATATTTTGATTGCACCTGAAATATAATACAGTTGGTTTCTACTTTTAAAGCCCCTTGTTAACATTACTTTCTTTTGGTCTTCCATTTCTTTAAAGAACTTTTGAGATTTGCTCACACATTTAACCTTCCTTAATTAGCTAACAAATATGGAAGAAAAAAATTATCTGCCTTGGAGAGAGT